ATGTTCCAATGTCCTTTTCCTTCACATTCTCATAAACAAAAAGCCCATAGACAATGAACCTCCCAAATCAACAGAATTACGGAGGAATTTTCCATTTTATTCGCTACCTACCTGATTGGAGCTAGACTCGTAGGAGCCAAAGGGCAAGTCCCCAACCAAAAGCGGTCGCTTGGCGCCACGAGCCACGGCTCGGCAGTGAACAAGCATTTCATCAAGCGTGATAGGAAGGGTGGTGTCATACCCATGAACCACCATGGCGGCCGAGTCGCCGACCAAGCAAATGTCGATGCCGGCCGAGTCCAGGTGGACCGCAGAAGGGTAGTCGTAGGCGGTGACCATGGTGATGGGCTCGCCCTTCTTGTGCTTTTGCTTCAAGTGGGTCACCGTCACTCTCTGGTCTGGGCTCTGCGTCTTTGGGCCGCCGTAGACAGTGTTTTCCGGCACGTTGCTCATGCAACGGAGGATCGGAGAGAAGGCTCGCGACATCGCTTTGGCTCGCGAAACGGCGGCGTACAATGCCATCTTTAAAGTTGTAGAGAGAGACTGAAGGAGAGAAATTGGGGTCTGTTTTGGCTGCGCCACCTAAAACTGAGCAAGTGGAAATGAATGAGTGAGAGAAGGTTTTGTTGAACAACTCTGAATAGTTTGGTATTTGACCCACTGAACCAGTCTTCATTTTTGCGACAAATGTTTTCTACGCGCCATAAAGTGGTGCCACCAATTGTTGCATTGGCAATGCGATTGAGGATCAAATGGGGCCGAGCGCCGGGGTCCAAGTACACTGAACACAGAATAATATGCGTCGGGTCATTTCAACCCAATATTCCTTCACAGCCCACAAGAAGGTTCCGAAGAAGGACGAAACCAAGCCCAAACTTTTACTCAAGGGATAGAAACTGGGCTTATTTACTGTTGTGCCTCATGAAACTATGATTATATCTCATTTTATCCCGTGAAAGTTAAAGTGGCCAACTTTGGCCCCTTAATCGATGTTTTGCATCTCAATTTATCCCCCACTGTCAAGTCAATCAAAAACTATGTTAAAAATACCGACGTGGCACAAATGAGACCCATAATTTTGTTGAATTGGATGTCACATAGGTGCCATGTGTAAAAAAAATTTTAAAAAAAGATTTTCTTTTAAAAAACTTAACTCAACTATTAATAATAAAAGAAAAATACAAAACAAAAAAAAGCATCGTCTTCTCCACACCCCTCCGCCATCGCCAACAGATCTCCTTCCTCACCCTCTCCCTTCGTATCTAGCCAACCTTTTATTTATATTTATTTTTAGTCCTCACCCCACCCCAAGACAACCTCTCTCTCTCTCTCTCCAGATCCGACACGCCCGAAACTCTAGGTTCGTCAAGGACTCAACCCAACCACCATCCCAGATACGTCACAGACTCAACCAAACCACAATACCAGATCCAACCCTTGAGGACTAAGGCCACATCACCGTCTTCATCACCAAGCTTTTTGCCCCCCGCAACCCACAAACCCATCTCCGCCGCAAATGTATGCGTTGTTCTTGTTTTCCTTGTTTTCCTTTCCTTTTATTTTTGTTTTGGCGGTGGCTATGGATGATGGTGGGGTGGTGGTTGGTTGTAGAGGGAAGGATCAGGCCCGACCCTAACTTTTGGGTGGCCCTAGGCCATGAAGTAAATGAGCCCCTTTCTTAGTATACAATTGCTAAAAAATAACAAATAAAATGATTTTACGCGCTATGAGCAAATAAAATGGTAGTATGTATTATAGTAGGACATATCTCCATAAATAAAAAATTCGGATTAGATATTTAATATTATGAAAGAAATTACAAATTTACAAACCGACGTTCTAGCAACCAATAGCCCAAGGAAAAAGTTTGTTGTTTGCTTCCATAATGGGTCCCTATGTGTTTTGTTCCTATTGGAAATTGAAAAAATTGTTTGCTAAATAGGAACAAATATAAAGAAAAATTCATAAACCTGATTACCTTTTGAACTTCTCATGCTCCTCTCCTCTTGGTAACCATCAATCTCAAAGACAAAGATCAAAAAAGAAAAATTGTGAGCTTTTCAATGAGAGATCGATTCTTAGGGTTACAATATGAGAAAAGAGGGATTAGAGAAACTGGAAAAAATGAATGGATTGAAGAGAGATTGGGAAAACATAGAATAATATGGTGGTGGATTAAATAGAGAGTATGTTCTTCCATGTAGAAACTAGGAGTAGGCACTGCGTGGCGAAGCCACATTTAGGCTAGAGGTGGCCCTGGCCCCTCCAATGTTTTCTAAGTTTTCACCAATCAAGGCAATGTATTGTAAAATATTAAAGGGATTTTGCATGTTTGAAGTTAATGGCCACCCTAATAAATTTATTTTGAGTAATAATGTGAAGTTATATTGGCTTTTCTTTGCTGATTTTTATATCTTTCTCTTTTGGGTTTTAGTAGATACTGATTTCCTTAGTATAAAAATTAAAAATAAATACCTATACTTGGATAGATTTAGTTGGAAAATCTTAATTTTAATCATAACTAACCAAATAGGTTAAAATACTTAATAAAAAAAAAAATGGCTACATAGCTTAACGTATTTCAAAATAAGTTTAATACATGTTAATTTTTCTTCTGCAATCTATATTTTTGTTTCTTCTTGCTCTAGATGTTTGGTACATGTTAATTTTTTGGCCCCCAAAAGTTTGAATTCTGGCTCCTTCCCTGCAACGTGGGAAAAGAGGAAGCGTGTTGGGGTTTCTTCTCATAAAAGGAATCGTGTTTCCTCATTTAATTTTATCGTGTGTTTTTTTTTAATAATAAGTTGGACCCCAAAAATTTATTCCAAATTCGCCAAACATCCCCCAAATTTTATATATATTTTATATTTGATGCTAGTATACATATATAATATAAACAATTTTGGGGCCCCCCTTAATTGGAAGCCCATGGCCATGGCCCTTCCTGCCCACCCCCAAGGCCGGCCCTGGGAAGGATGATGGGGGCATGGCTTGTGGTGGGTTTGGTCATAGAGCCGTGCGGCTATACTATTTATTTATGTTTTTAAAAGACCCATCTAGCGATTAGGTGCCCAAGTGTTGAAATAAGTATAGCCATGAGACTATACTATTTTTTTATAAAAATTTTAAAAGCGGGTATAGCCGAGTGACTATACCATTTTCCTTTTTTAAAAAAATAAATTTTTTATAAAGGGCTCCCTAGCGATTAGGTGGCCACATGTCAAAACAAGTATAGCCGCGCGGCTATACTATTTTATAGAAAAAATAATAGTATAGCTGCACGGCTGCACTATTTAAATACATTATATTTGAACGGTCTAGCCGGGCGGCTATACTGTTTAATTGAAAAAGAAAAGAAAAAAAAAGGACCCTCCTCGTTTATACTTTATAGATATGAATTTGCTAGTTTCAACATATCCAAATACGATATTAATCGGCAGCTACATAATATTTTGAAATATTGTTTTTAATTTTTTAAAATATATATTATTTTTATTCAAAAATTTGTGAGAATTATTTGTATAATACGTTAATTATGTGTTTTATTGAAAATTTTGTTAAAAATACATATATTAAACATGAGAAATACATAGGTACATGTACAATACGAGTATTGTATATTTTCTTTTTTAAAAACGTGAATTTTACCGAGTTTTTAAGACATGTACGGAACAAGTAGCTCACGTGCCAAACACAGTATAGCCGCGCGGCTATACTATTTATTTAAAAAAATATATAAGAGGACTCGTCTAGCAGTCAGGACTCGGGTCCAAAGTGTGGGAATAAGTATAGCCGCGCGACGATACTATTTTAAAAAAAACAATATAAAAACCGAGTGCAGTACGATTGTACCATTTAAATACATTATATTTTGCAGGTATAGCCGCTCGGCCGTACTATATTTTGAGCAAATTACGAGATAAGTATAGCCGCGCGGAGATAAAATTACGAGATAAATATAGCCGCTCGGCTATACTAGTTTTTGGGAAAATTACGAAATATGTATAGCCGCCCGGCTATACTATTTCCCTCTTAATAATTCTTGACTTGCTCCAAATCTGCTTAGGATGAAGATTAGTAGGAGGAATGGGTGGGTCTATTTGCAAATCCAGGGTTCGTGAAGAAGATACTGATGAATCATTGGTTAAGGTTGTTGAAGAAGTAGCCATAGAGAAGGAATTATTGAGTGCAGCAGTAGCAGACAATTCAGTGGGATCAAAATCAACCAATGGACTGGAAGAAGATACAACAGGTATGGAAGAAACCAATGAAGAACTCTCTGAACTTGTAGAAACACATGGTGAGCATAGAGGCTTAGACTTGCATGAGGGAAACACCGTTTCATCAAACAAAACATGTCTAGAAAAAATCAAATTTCTGGTGATTGAATCAAAGCAAATGTAGCCCTCGTATTGGGAAGCATATCCAAGTAAAATACATTGTGTTGTTTCTACAAGGTGTCGATTCTTTCCTTCAGCCAAGCCATTTTGTTCAGGTGTATAAGGGCAAGATTTATGATGAATAATACCTTTGGATGACAAGAATTGCTGTAAAGATGCAGAGATATATTCCCCTCCCCCATCACTTTGCGAAACCTTAATGGAAGCACCAAACTGATTCAAGACAAGAGCGACAGTGCCACAAAGTGGAAGTTACTTTTTGTCCAAGAAATGCAGTTGCTGAAGAAACAGAGGAAGATGAGGAAGGAGAAAGGGAGAATGGCAGTGGATACAAGCCATTGTTGCTCAGGCCTCAGAAAAATACCCTCCCTGTGATTTTGTCATGTATACATAAAGAATAAAGATAGCTCATCAAATATGCATCGACAATGATTCTCTTTGCATAATTATATTAAGCTGGAAAGTATGATTAGAGGTAGACAAAGTAGAAGCCCCAATGTGAGAAATTACAAGTTTACCATTGGCCGAATCGGCTTGCATGGTATAATTCATTTACACTTGCGTTTACATTACATAATCGAATAGGCTTCCGAATCCGAAACGACATCAACCTTCCAATCAATCGAAATTCTCCGCACCGAAAAGTCTACACATCCAACCGCTGAAGACCATCCAAACCCAAAATCACAAACAGATCGCGCCACGTGTTAATACTCAGAAGCCCACCCCCTCATACTCTGGCTCCGAAAATGCCGGCACTTCACGCGCAACCTTCACTGATAAGGTCACTCCTCTACTTTCCCTCTCCCTCCCTCACTCTCAGTCTTCGCACACTTCCACTATTTCGCGTCACCAAGCTTCGCTGCTTCAACTGTAGCCAGAGCTCAATCCGTACAGTCACAGCCATGTCCTTGCCTAATGCCACCTCCGGCGACTCTTCGCCGGACCACGTTGCCGGGAAGTGGTTTTCGGTGCCGGAGCTCCGACTTCGTGACCATCGATTCACTGTGCCTCTCGACTACTCCGTCGGTCTTAAGGCATCGTCTAAGATCTCAATCTTCGCCCGCGAAGTTGTTTCAGGTAATTAATTACTGGTTGATTGGTGTTGGAAGTGAATTATGCAATATAGTGTGTATCAGTTGAAGTGATTAATTTGTTCTTGGATTTAAGCGGCTCAGTGTTTTGATTTTCCTGTTATTATCTGTTAATTACTGTTTGATTGGTGTTGGAAGTGAATTATGCAATATAGTGCGCATCAGTTGAAGTGATTAATTTTGTTCTTGGATTTAAGCGGCTTAGTGTTTTGATTTTCATTGAAGTGTGTTGACCTTTTCGTGCTTTGCCTCTGTTTGGTTGCTTAGAAAATGGTGGAAAGGGAAAGAATGAGGCATTGTCTACTGTTTTCAGCTAAGAGAAAGACATCGATTAGTGGTTTGAATTGGTAGAGTTATTTGAATCCTCTCAACTAACTCTGATGATAGTTTTATGTTGTTGTGGTCCTCAGTATTGAAAAGATCAAAGATTAATCTGCTACATTTGCTTTTCCCACTAACTACAATAAATAATTTTTGAAGCTTGAATGAGATATCTGCCTGTGAATGTTCATATGATCGAATGTCAAGTGTTCTATGAATTTCAACTGACATAGGTGGATACATAAGACTTATACCCATTCCAGGGTAGTTCATAAGATAAGAGAAGTTACAGCAGAAGCTGCTTACCTATGCCGCCAGACGGAGACATACTCAAAACCAACGTGCAAGCATGTGCATATACCTGTAAATTGGGGCGTCATAAAATACTCTACTTAAAAAGAGTATCTGCTTTAGTCATGAATCTCATTGCTAGTTAGGAGTAGATAAAAATGTAACTGGCAAGCAAGCTGTTTCCCTATTTTTTCAATCTCCGGATTGCTCATATCCTTCTCAGACAATTGCCTTTTTCATACATGTTTGTGGTTCTGTTAGTCCCTCAATAAAGTATGATTTGTATTGCAGTTGGTAAAGAAGAACAACCACTGCCATACCTATTATATCTACAAGGTGGACCTGGATTTGAGGCCCCTCGACCAACCGAACCCAGTGGATGGATACGTAAAGCATGTGAAGAATTTCGTGTTATATTGATGGATCAGGCATGGTTATATAGGCATATATTCTTACAACCATTTGTGAATATGTACTTCCTTATTTGTTATTCTCCTGCTTACCTACTTTTACTTGCAGCGAGGAACAGGTTTATCAACTCCTTTGACAGCTTCATCTATGTCGCAACTGAAGTCTGAAGTGGATCTGGCTGATTACTTAAAACATTTCCGAGCTGATAATATAGTAAATGATGCAGAGTTTATTCGAGTACGTCTTTTGCCTGATGCTGGGCCCTGGACAATTTTGGGTCAGGTATTAATTGCTATTTGCTTTTAGTATTTATGTGTGCATGTAATGTTTCGACTATAGTGTGATGATCCTGCCTGCAGTTTCTTTATTTTACTAAGAAATACCTACTATGTTATCAGAGGAAATTGTTAAGATCCAGAGCTCCTTCATAGTGCCAACTTCGTTCTCCCTATGTCTGAAGTTGTTGTGTGTTGCATTTTTTGTATCATAAGAATGTCTCTGTGTTAAGTCATTTCTTATGTTTTGCTTGTGGTGCACTATTGCCTGTGCAACTGAACTAAAATTGCAGCTTGTTCTTTTCCCTTGTGCAGAGCTTTGGTGGTTTTTGTGCAGTAACCTATTTGAGTTTTGCACCACAAGGACTAAAACAAGTCCTTTTAACTGGAGGAATCCCTCCTATAGGAAATGGATGCACTGCAGATGCCGTGTATAAAGCATGCTTTGAACAGATTATACATCAGAATGAGAAGTACTACCAAAGGTATCCTCAAGATATTGAGGTTGTTCGTGAAGTTGTTAACTATTTGTCAAATTCCGAGGGAGGAGGGGTGAAGGTCTAGATCATATTCTCTTGGTGCTTTTCATAACTCTCAGATTTAAGATTACTCTTTAAAATCAATCCCACCTACCCTTGTTTTTGTACAGGTCCAGCTTCCATCTGGAGGCTTCCTAACCCCAAAGGGATTGCAGATTCTTGGTCTTACTGGCTTGGGATCCAGTGCTGGTTTTGAGCGCTTACACTACATGTAAGGCTTCATGAATATGAACCTGGATTTCAATATGCTACAATTTAGTCATGCTTCAACTGAGTTATATTTTCACTTCGACCCATAGGTTTGAGAGGGCCTGGGATCCTATAATAGTTCCAGGAGCATCAAAGGAAATCAGTTATTACTTCTTGGATGCTGTAAGAAAATAACTGCTTTTTATTGATGTTGAATCCAAGGCTTTGAACATAGCTGGTATAAAGTTGTAAACCTTAAACCATTCCATGTTTGCAGTTTGACAAGTGGTCATCTTTTGACACAAATCCACTTTATGCTCTTCTTCATGAATCCATATACTGTCAGGTAATTGCTTTAATCTCTTTCATCTGCAGAAGTATATGTTCTTTTTTTTTTTTTTTTTATAATTTTTTTTATAATTTTCATTTGGTTATTAGTTTGTCTAGTTGTTTATTTGTTTACTTATTGAAGGGTGGTTCATCACGGTGGGCTGCTCAAAGAATAAGGGCGGAAGATGAGGGCAAATTTGATGCAGTCCGGGCTGCAAAAGAAGGTCGTCCCGTATTTTTCACAGGAGAGGTAGGCATAGGTTCCGGCCTCTTTTCAATGCCAAAAAGCCATAATGTTCACATCCAGTTATATGAATTTATCGGACAGATAATTGATGATTTATTTATATATTACATTCAGTATATATCTCATGGATGAAATAATCGTCAGCATGTGACGTATAGAATATTTTGGGGAGTCATGAACTCTGAAGTGTATATATCCTGATGGAGAGGATATCTAGTTGTGCATACAATTTATGATTTACTTGCATGATGGTATAAATGCTCATGCAGCTATAGACACTTGGACCAATCTTAGGGGTCGAATGAGGTGTATTGGGTAAGCAGAGTAGTCCCACAGCTATGTGTCATACAGAGCAAAATTGGAGTTGGCCTCTAGTATGTTGTTGCTTTCAGCTTTGACTACTACCTCACAAACACAAACTGGGTTTTTTGCTGCTGCAGATGATCTTTCCATGGATGTTTGATGAGATTCATGCCTTAAGGAAATTCAAAGGTGCTGCTCATATATTGGCTGAGAAGAAGGATTGGCCTCCACTATATGACATCACTGCACTAAATAATAACAAGGTGTGCTGCCTTTTTATGAAGTTAATCGTCTTGAATATCAACTGGCCATAAGATTTGCACAAGGAGATCTAAACCTTGTAGCAGCCTATGATGTTTTCCATTTTGACCGTACACATAATGTGAATTATCAGCAGTTTCATCCGTTAATGTATGAATTTGCTTCTGTCAACATTGACAGGTACCTGTTGCAGCTGCTGTTTACTATGAAGACATGTTTGTAAACTTCAAGCTGGTCATGGAAACAGCATCTCAGATAGCCGGGATTCGGTTGTGGATAACTAACGAATTCATGCATTCTGGTCTGCGCGATGCAGGGAGCCAGGTTTTTGATCATTTGATGGGAATGTTAGACGGAAAGAAGCCTTTGTTCTAATTTCCTTTCCAGTTCCTGCACTAGATCTGTATTGTCTTGATTTAATTTACCTTCATGTTCTTGATAATTCAGATTGGGGGCTTACAAAGTCTTTGCGGCAATTTCTCCATGTCTTAGAGATCAAATTGAGGCTTGTATATTGGTTTAGAATTTCTTTACCATAATATTTGATTTTTACCTTAGAACTATAGTCAGTATCATATGCTAATGTTACGATATAGAACTATATATAATGATATAAAACTATGAACTATTATCATAGAATATCAAATTAAACATTGAGTTAGCAAAATTGTATATATCAATATAGTTAATGTGCATTTGGAGTAATTTTTTAGTGTGAATGCATTAACACTGATTCTCCCTTCGGACATATATGCAAGGGGCTTGTAGCTCAAGTAGTTAAAAGCAGTTATACATACACTAGATGTCCTATTTCTGAATACCCCATTTTCCAATATTACTTGTGTGTGTGTGTATATATAAAACTATTACTTTAGATATTGATAAAAAATAAATATTTAAAAACTATTTGCTTTAGAAAAAATACAAATAGAAAGATGAAAGACAAGAGGGCCATGCTGACCCAATCACTCACAAAATGCTTGGTATATACAAGAATGGTGTTAGCAGCAACACATGAAATGCTTTTGGCCCAGGCCTTTTCTCTTGGATCTCTTTTGGTTGGTAAACTAAACAGTATATATCTCTGGTCAAACTAAAACCAAAATTTTGTAGCAATTTGAACGCGTGACGTACGTATATTTCCCAATATTACAGAAATTCGTCATCCCATGAATCTTGTGGGTGAAGAAGAGAGAGAGAGAGAGAGAGAGAGAGAGAGAGAGCCATGCAAACGCATGCATTGATGATAACGATAAGTATATTGAGGCACGTCACCTTTTCTCACTTGAAATTGCAGGTGAACAGAAGTAGTTGAGATGTAGTTGGCCTTCGCCTTTACCTAGGATAGAAGATAGGGAAGAGTACCAAAAACAGAAAAGAACAGCCTCCCAATTTCAACCCTAAGCAACAATTAATCTCTCTCTCTCTCTCTCTCTCCTTTATGTTTCTTGTGTGTCTGCACGGACCAACTTCTTCTCACCTTCCACCACCTTAACTCTTTGAAAGCTTTATATACTTCCCCTATCAAACATTAATTCTCTCTTCCTTTCTCTTCATTCTCTAATTAATTAACAACTCAGATTAATTATGGAAGGTCATCAAGAGCCTAATTATCCACCCCCATTAACCCCATCATCCTTAATCTCATTGCCATTCTTGTTGCCACCCCAAAACCCTCTCTTCACACCCTCATCAGCATTAACAGCCCCATCCTCCTCCTCGCAGCTGATCAGCCCTCCTCTTCTAGAACCTCAGCAGCATCAAGTCCTCCCAGACATTGATTGGGTCAGCCTTCTCTCTGGTTCTCCAGCAGCTGGGTTTGGTGGGCAGGAGATTAATAATTATAAGCCACTGGTAGAAAATAATAATGTTGGTGCCTCTGCTGAGAATATTAATGAAGCTGATCGGGAAGGAAAGGGTGCAAATAGTAAAAGGAAAGGTGGGGGTAGGACGAGAAAACCAGCGAGCCGGCCTAGATTTGCTTTTCAGACCCGGAGTGCCGATGATATTCTTGATGATGGTTATCGCTGGAGAAAGTACGGACAGAAGGCCGTCAAGAACAACTTATATCCCAGGTTTGTTAATTCTCTTTCTAACACTATTATATTATTATTATTATTTTGTTACAATTTAGTACATCACCGAACAAAATCATAAAGCAAACGTTAATTAGCTGGCTGCTGACATCAAATTTGAGATACAAACAAAACATTTATATATTCATATAATTTTTTTTATATACAAGCCATTTTAAGGGAGAACAGAAACTATGACTTCGGGTGCAGGGGTAAATGTTCTTAACCACCTGAGCTATAAGCTCCTTTCTTATACATTCATATTTTTAGTTGCTCAACTAATTTGACATTTCCTCACATTATGAACAAATGGACTTAATCAAGTTAATTTAGTAATTAGTTTGGCTGACTAGGGTATTGACATTTTATAACGAAGCATTTCTACTTTTTCCTCAGCCAACAAGGAAACTGAATACATAAATACGTAGACTCGGATATTTGGTCCTATAAATTTTGATCCAAAACTTCAAAAAAATAAAAACTCCTATTGAAAATAGAAAAATAACTCTGTACTCCCGAATCAATAAAAAGACTATATCTATTTGAAAATAGAAAAATTCTTATGACCTATCAACTTGATTATATATAAATTTATTGGGTTATCTACATAAATAGCAAGGATTTAGTCATGTTCTTCATTATGTTTGGTGCAATATTAATATATATAAATTTAAAAGTTTGCTATGATCTATCTATCTCCAGCTTAATTAGTATTATGGCATTTACTTATGAGCCAAAGTTCTTCATTGGGTTCAAAAAATTCTATGCTTTTCTCACTTTCATACTTTCAAACATGGTCATACGTAGGAGCTACTACCGGTGCACGCATCACACATGCAATGTGAAAAAGCAGGTCCAGAGGCTCTCTAAAGACACGAGCATTGTGGTGACAACATATGAAGGAACTCACAATCATCCCTGTGAGAAGCTGATGGAAACCCTAACTCCTCTTCTGAAGCAAATGCAGTTCCTCTCTGGGTTCTGATTCAAAATTAATTAGCTCACTAGTACTAAAGGTTTAATTGCTATATGAACATATAGAATGCACAGTGCATGATCTTCTATTGGAAATTAATTTGTACTTATATATGTATTAACTGTGGACTATCTGAGAAGGAAAAAGAAATGTAAAGGTCGATATACCAAAATCAATATGTCAATTAAGCTCTTGTATGTTATTTGGTACCACTAGTAAACTCATTTGATTCTTGTATTCTAAATGACATGCTAATTTATCGTCTGCGCACAGCCCAAAACGAAGTGGGCCAGTCTAGGCTCACGTGTGAATTTTGGTTCATCCTAAAGAATTAACTTATGGAGTCATTCTATACAGTGAGGGTCTTATCTAAGGTACTTAGATAAGGTCTTATCTCTTAATCGTTTGATCCAACAGTTAAAATAATATAGTCGGAAAAAAAAAAGGAAGGAAAATAAGTTCAAGAACACACAATGTTTCTATATGTATTTATGCATAATACTGATATATATGTAGAAGTACACAAACATCACAGACGACTAGAGTTGTCTCTGATTCAGAATTTAATTTAGACATGGCTCTTGATGGAAGAGCTATAATTAGTTTGATCATCATAATACTTGGACCACAGCATGACCCCTCCATACTTGGGAGAACCTTTAATTGCTGGAAGCACTTTAGAAGTGAGATCAGCCACAGGAATGAAGCCACTTCCAGCAGCTGCAGGGGCAGCTGGCAATCCTAGGAATATCTTGGTAGCTGGAATATCTGAAATCCACTGCTTACATGCATTTTCAAGGTTGCTAAGATCCCCAGAGGAGTATTGGCAAGGTGGGTTGTTGTAGAATTGGACCCAAACATTGTCAAAAAGGCCTGTCTTGAGGGCACCCCCAACCCAAGCATCTGGGAAAGGGCACTGAGGAGCTGCAGTTAAATAAACTTTCTTACCTTGTTTACTATATGCAGAGAGGTATCTTGCAAGGTCATCCCAATGTAGGTTTGTTCCTCCTTCGATGTCGAAATCAATTCCATCCAAAACAGCGTCACCGAGCGGGCGAGATGTAGAACTTACCCCTAAGAAATTGTTCCATAAGTAAGTAGCAACTTGCCTAGCATCCTCTTTAGATATGAGGTAGTAGCTCCCTGCTCCTCCTCCAATTGAAAGAATGACCTTGACCCCTTTTGCTTAGCATGATTTAATGTCAGAGCTCAAGCCAGTGCAGCCATTAGTGTAGGGATCACAGTGTCCAGCTAGGTTGATCATGGGGGTCTGGCCATTGCCAAAGGTTGGAAGAAAAGCTAAGTTCACAAACTCATAGTTGCCTGTGGCGCAAGTTTCCTCCAAGGTACCCTCGTTCCCATTTTGACCCCAGTAGATGGCAATGCCTGCAGCATCAGCTCCAAATTTTAGTGCTAGGCTTAAAGAAATGAGAAATGCCAGTGAAATTGCTAAATTTGGTGCCATTCTGCACTTGATTTTGATTAGCTAGTAGCTGTAGTATTTTTTCTTGTTACTACTTCCTTGTATTAGTGTTTAGAAAAACATGTCTTTTTATAGGAGAAAATCAACCCCATTCTGATGGCAACATCCTGTGCTTTTGTGGAAGAAGCGCGTGCCTGAGAAGTCACTTCATCATTTCCCACCTGATTTCCTTTGTATCATATTACCAATGGTTGTGGATTAACACACACGTTAGACCACATAAAACTCCTCACACATTTGAGGCATCCTACATGTAGCATTTGTGGGTGTGTATGTCCTATTTTTTCGTTTGTCAGACTTGTTTTGCCAAACAAATACTTATGTTGCCAGATTGTGAATCTGAACCACACATTCTGACAAGAATTAACATGGTCAATTATCCAAATTCACAGTCTGACTAAATACTTATGTTGCCAGATTGTGAATCTGAATCACACATTCTAACAAAAATTAATATGATGAATGATCCAAAATCACAATCTAACTAGGTTGCCGAACATTCTTACAAGAGAGCATTTCTCATTTTTCATTCTCTTCTATATGTCTCATTGTGAATGGTGTAAGAGAGCATTTCCAATTTTTCGTACTATTCTGTATGTCTCTTTGTGAATGGTGTAAGAGAGCATTTCCAATTTTTCGTACTATTCTGTATGTCTCTTTGTGAATGGTGTAAGTATATATATGTTGGGGATTAAACACAGACGGGTACTTTGAAACTAAAACGGATTTCTAGATCCTCAAATGTTACCTTCCCTTCCCATACCTGTGACTCTATAGTTTAGTCTTTGGTAATGTTTTTCCTATTTTATGTCATTGGTGTTGGTTTTTTGGTGATAATTTGGTGAGCTGGTTGATAAAATGAAGCAAGTAAATTTTAATTAAAAGTTGGAAATAGTGAAGATTGGTTAGCTAGCAAAGAAAACGAAATACCACTTCCACAAACGTGGAGATTATGTGATAAATCATTTTCTCTTGAATACGGAATAAAACATACGAGATATGTATTATATCCGGAATATTCATCACACAATAGTATGTCCAAATAGAAAATCTTTATATTAGGTCAAACGCAGCCTTACCATGCATGTATGCTCCAATCCGCCAAACAAAGCAAATGGAAGAAACTCTCATCCTCTATGATTCTTCTTAAGGGATTTGAATATTCTGCCTATATTTTTATTTAAAATGAAAACATAAACATATGTCAAGGATGTTTTGATTGGATGATTCCTCTTTTTTTTAAAAGGATGCGTTGCAAACATGGGCCTAGCCAAGTTGGTTAGAACAGATGTGCTCTCCATTTTGCACTCGAGTTCGAATCCTTCTCCCCGTAGTTTAGATTAGTTTAAAGTAGATTACTACTATATAAAAAAATTTAGGAAAAAAAAAGAGAGGATGTGTTCCTATGTTTACAAGAAAATTTAAGAAATTTTGCCAAATAAAAATGTAAGATAGAAAAGAGGGAGATCTGGTTGGTGGAGCTTACCATGCAATTAAGGCTGCATTTGACCTAATACATAGCCATGATCCAATCTTAACCCTCAATCAAATGCGGAATATATAATCCCAACACGTATATATATGATAATTTTCTTCACATCAGTCTCATTACATTTGTCACAATCCCACAAATCAAGTGATGTAGCTCCTCTATATATAACCCAAATGAAATTTTCGATCTGAATACAAGGCTGCAAGCAGGCTCAAATCAATCTCTTGGTTTGTTCATCTTTAGTTTTCTTTGGTTTGTTCTTTCTTTTTGTTGGTTCATACGTCTTTGAAAATGGCGGGGTTGGTGGACAAGGCCAAGAACTTTGTGGCAGATAAGATAGCAAATGTGCCAAAGCCAGATGCAAGTCTCACAGACGTTGATTTCAAGAAGGTGAGTTTTGACTCTGCGGATTACATTGCCAAGGTGTCTGTCAACAATCCCTATCCACATCCTCTCCCCGTCTGCGAGGTCAAATACACCCTCAAAAGTGCTGGCAGGTTTCAATTCAAGTCTTGTTTTTACATCTTTTTTCTTTCACTCGTGATCTATTTGTGGTCATTTTAATCCTGCTGTTGGTTTTGAAGAACCTATAATTTTTGTGACCATGCTCATTCAATGAATAACAAAATGTCACGGTCCAGCTACAGATCAAACTATTTAAAAGGGTTTTGTTTTTTGAAATCAAGGAAATGAGATCAAAATCAAATTCCCTTTTTGAAATCAACGAATAAAATCAAAATCGAAACCCTTTTGAGATGTCTGAATGAGCTTCGATTTAACAATCGTTTGATACTTATTTTTTTTCTGACTTGTATGTATATATACATGTGAATTAGGGTTATTGCATCTGGGAACATGCCAGATCCTGGCTCAATAAAGTCAAGTGGCACTACTGTGTTGGAGGTGCCTGTGAAGGTGCTACATAGCATAATTGTGACATTGGTAAGGGACGTTGCTAAGGATTGGGACATTGACTATGAGCTGGATTTGGGTCTCATCATTGACCTCCCTCTAGTTGGGAACCTTACCATACCTCTATCTAGGAAGGGCGAAATCAAGCTTCCCACCTTATCTGAAGCTATTTGGGGTTCAAAGGATGAAGCTTCAAAAGAGACTAAAAAGGAGATTCCAAAAGAGGCAACAAAGTAGAGGTAAGATCTAAAGAAAGGGAAAGGGAAAGTCGAATTATTTCTGTGTCATAAAATGTAAGAGTTAGTAGTTCATTTTAAAAATTGGAAGGTGAAAGTCGAATTCTTGTCGTGAATGTAAGAGCAATGTGGTTATGTTATACTGTTTGAGACGTTGTATGGTGTTTTCCTTGCTAATGGGATTGAAATGAACTTTATCTTTTATGAAAGATTAAAAGGAATTTTTATTCATCTTGTATCCCATAAGAAATGGTATATATGATTTTACCATGTGGAGAAGCATTATGTCAATTGCTTTTTTTAGCAGCGTTGAATTAGAATTGGGAAGACATTTAGTACTTAGTAGCAATGTATTATTCAAGTGGGATCGGGGTGGGTTTTTTTTTTCCTTTACAGGAGTGAGATTCGAACTTGATATATATTCTAACATTGGAAATGATTTAGACTTTTCTGTAGTTGACTATATACTTCATTATTATTCATTTCAGCACATTCCTGTTTTACTTTTCTAACGATTAAAACGGATCCAAAATTGATAAACTGCACGAGTTTTGAAAATGAAAAAACAGTTGTAGTTTGAGTTGAAATTTAATTTCCTTTGTTCATACTTTAGCATATTGGATGGGAGTAACTAGTTTTCATACGGTAGTGGAGCCATTCTATAACGGTTGGATCAAACTAATCAATTTGATCCAACGATTAACCAATTTGATTCAATAGTTACAAGATAGAGCCTCATTTAAGAACCTTAGATAAAACTCCCACTACGGAATTCTACTACGCTAGTGTTGGTTACTCACTTAGTATATTTTGGGCTTTAGACATTTAAATCAAATCAAGATATAGGCCTTTGGGGTTTGTCCCCCCCCACACTTTATCCAAAAAACATAAAATAAAATAAAAAAAGATATAGGCCTAGGTCAAGCCCACATCAAAGGCCAATCCCATTTACTAATATTGGAGATGCTCTATTATTTTGGTGCTAATCATATTCAATATCAATACCTACAAACGATAAGAGAAAAATACTTCCTTCCTCCCATAATCTGCATTACATTATATGAGACCCGTCTTATATTTTTACATTATCCCTAATTGTGTTTTTGTATTGGCAAGCAAAAGAAGTAGTGTGTAGAAGTTAAATTCGACTCTTGTCATAAGAAAAAATAATCTGTAAATTAATTGGCTGAAAATGATCTTGTTCTAATACGGATATTTAGCCAATCTGGTTACTGTTTTACCCAAATTATACACTCATTACAATCATGAAGAGCAAATCTAGCCACCTCATGCGCCATGTGCAGTGCAGCACATCTGAGGTTACTAGTTACTTTGTTACAGTTCCATGATCATTTGGTTTCTTGAGCATCACACTTTAGTATGATTCTAAGAAAACCAACTTTTGTAGCTGTCCTTATGAAACTTTAGTCTCAGCGAATAGCTTCCACTGAATTTTACATACCCACAATAAAAAATTTCTTTCCGTCTCTAATCTATCTTTAGAATTGTAAATTGACTGGATACCGTTCGAGTTTGGATCGAAATTCGCTCGAATGAGCTTTGTTCACTTAAGAAACAAGTCGAGCATGATGAGCTTCAGTATGTTGAGTTCATAAAGCTTGTGAGCAGCTTTAGTTCAAAGCATTCAGTATGTTTTCTTCTTTTTGAAGTTTATGTCGGTTATGTACTGTTTTTAAAATGTAATATGTGTCCTTTAGTTTTGAAGTTAATGTTGATAATACTATTTTTTTTAAAGAATAATCGATGGTTTTTATTGATAAACAAACAAAATTACGAAGTAAATATGGGTAAATTTTCTTTAGTGACATGCACAACCCAAAAGTGACTAAAATTCCCGATTCAACAACCATAAGCATATGTACTCATGCAATATAGATCTACCGCGCAATGGCAGAACGCCATATTCTTCACTTCCCCAACCAAAACTCTATACAAATTCCTTTCCTCATATCTCATATGAATAGTGGTTGCTCTTGGGTTGCCATGACAATGGTCAGAAAACCAACAAAAAAATTACTATAATAGGCACTATTCATGTAAATAGTAATAGCTCTGGCCTCTCTTTGCCTTTTGCCATAATAAATGGGTGGAAATGCTCTAATAGTTTATGAGGGTTTCTAGTGTATATATGATAATATTCCAATTATTCAACTAGGCCCCTTGTGACTCGTCCACTGCGATGAATAAAGGCACCCATGCGTGGGTTTTGGATAATATTGGATATTTCAGTGCTATCTTTGTACACGCTTATATTATTTATTATTTTTTAATAAAACATATATTCCAATAATAATAAAAATAAAAATAAAAATTTGGCGATGAGAATTGGACCCACCATCCAGCCAAATAAATAGACATCACTGTCTCCACCGTTTAGATTGTCCAAACTTTTAAAAAAGACCCATCCCATCTTATCTCAACCATTACTTTTAGTACAAATTTCATGTCAAGCATCATCAATCCATCACAGGTATCTAAACACGGAGGAACACACGAACGGACACGTAAGATTGTCACGTGTCCTCCAGCCGACCTCCCTGCCACGTGTCGAAAACCCAGTGCACCCACAACCTCGTCTAATATTTTACTCAATATTCCACTGGAGATCCACCTCCTATAAATATCTCCACAAATATCAGTCTCAAAAACAAGCCTTGCAAGTCCTAAACCTAATCTAGTGTGTTGATCTCTTCGTTTGTATTAATATTTTGTTTTGCTGTTAGATTGTTGTCGGAGTGTGCTTCGATTGAAAATGTCTGAGTTGTTGGGAAAAGCCAAGAACTTCGCCGCAGAGAAAGTGGGTCATGCAAAGAAGCCAGAGGCAGAAGTCACAGATGTTGATTACAAGACGATGAGCTTAGGATCTGTTGAGTACCTTGCAAAAATCTCTGTGACCAATCCCTATGGAGTTGACCTCCCCATCTGTGATATCACTTACACCCTCAAGAGTGTTGGCAGGTTCCAATTCTCACTTTTTATTTGTTTATTTTTGTTATAGATACTCTTTCGATCCATGTGTTTTACTTCAATTTTCTAATTTGGTTTTTGTGTTTTCAATTTCGTCAATTTGGTTCCCGTGTTTTCATTCTCATAACGTGTACACTTGGTGTTAGTTTTACTTTGTCGGAAGAGATCTCGAGTTCAAATACGATCAATACACAATATTTTGATAAAAAAATTAAAGAAGATTAGTTCTATACCATGCTCATATATATAAAGTGACTTGATTTGTATGTGTACATGTCAATTTGTAGGGAGATTACATCTGGAACTGTACCAGATTCTGGTTCAATAGAAGGAAAGGAGATTACTGTGCTTGAGGTACTATTAAAGGTGCCACATAGCATATTGTTGACCTTGGCAAAAGATATTGGAGCAGATTGGGACATTGATTATGAGCTGGATATAGGCCTCACCATTGACCTTCCTGTCATTGGCAACTTCACCATACCACTTAACAAGAAGGGAGCGATCAAGCTTCCCAGCGTCTTCTGATCCATATGACCTTTGGGATTCTACGGCTTTGGTTATGTTCTGTAACTTTTCTTTTGTTGTTAATATACGTACATTAAGATATGGACTCTGTCTTTGCTAAGCACACGAGTGTTTTAAGTTTTTCTGGATTTTTATTTTCAGTTGGTTGAGCTCTTCCACCTCTATCTATGTGGGCAGAGGTTTGAAATTCCCAGACATTATATGAGTATTTGCGTAAACCTTCCTTCCTCAATCACTTATAAAAAATATTTAAGTTTTTTTCAAAATATGTTATGTACCAGTGATATTGGGAAGGAAAATTAAACCTACGACCTTAGCACAGAGTAAATGTTCTTAATAATCTAATTAAAAATATAATAAAAGCCCTAACAAGTTTGACCAAAGCCAAAGTTAGGGAATTACAAAGCAGTTACAACAGCAATGAGGGGAAAGGGATAAGAATATAAGCCTTATTAAACAAGTAAAGTTTATATCGGCTCTGGACTTTTAAAGTATTATATGTGTACTTTGATTATTGAAGTTAATGTCGATTATACTTTTTTAATGCCGATAACTGTCTATACTAGAAAGGAAAAAGCTCTAGCCTTCTCTCTCTCTGAGAAAAAACACTTCTAGAGCCGTTTTCATTTTGAGATTCTTCCTCCCCTCTCCCCTAGTCTCTTCCTCGCTTCTCTTCCTCCCCCATTTTCAAAGACAGAAAGCTTCCTCTATTTGTCTTCGTTTTATTATGATTTTCCTTCAACCATCACAGGTGGTTGTGTCATGGCGTCGTATCCCTACCTGCATTTTAGCGTCGGATCTCCTCCACCATCCTTTTTGCGGTTTCTTTTGGTTTGGAATAAATTACAGAGACTCTTTGGGTTCTTTGTGTAGTTTTCATCTCTTTTTTTGTGAGAGCTTTTCACTTCTTCTCTGTGAGTGCTTTTCGTCTCTCATTTGTAAGAGTTTTTCATCTCTTTTTTATAAGAGTTTTATTTGTATTATTATGACTTGGTTTTTTCAAACTTTATATCTTTTTTATTATTCTGAGTTTGCAATCTTAGTTGAGATGCCTATGCCAGAGTTTCTTCGATCATGCATAATCATTAGTGGAGGTGCACTTGATTGTCTTAATTTTGATGTTAGATTACTCTGTTATTGTAATGGCCATGTGTGGTTAGTTTGTATTAGTCATTTGTGGCTAGTAGCTTTTTTGGCGAAATTATAAATGCAATCACATAATTTCTCAACAAAAAAAAAAAGGAAAAAGCTTGGTTGAGGAGCTCATCCTCCAAACAAATAGAGTTTTGACACTTGGAAATTCCTTTCATTTGTTTTGAATTCCTTTAACTTTTGTTCTTTTGAATTTTTACAAGCGTCAAAATCTCATTTGTTATAATGATGTGCTCTTCCTCAATTTTAAGGAGCCAATTCATACTTTAGGAAAGAGCTTTAGTAATTTATGCTTTGAGAAGGCACTGTAGGGGTTTTCAAAGATGGATAGATTGGATTTAGGGAAGCTGAGTTGGGGTGTGATTTAGCAATGGAAGCTGAGTGGAAATTGGAATTTGGAGAAGAAGAAAGGGAAGGTTGCTGGAAGGACAACTTTGCCCTCAATATTGACAAAGAAATGGATGAAATGTTTCGAAATTTGACATTAGGGAGGAGATTGGCGAAAAAAATTAGTTTATATCCTTAATTAAACCAAAAAAAAAGTTGAACGTGAAAAATCGAATTACGTATTGCATTGCTAACATGTGTGAGGGTTTTGTATATCTGATAGATACCTTCAAATTATTCAATTAGGCCCCTTGTGACTTATCGACTGCGACTAAAGGCACCCAATTTGCCGATGAGAATGGGACCCACCATCCATCCAATTAAATAGAACATCACTCTCCACCGTCCAGATTGTCCAAAGTTAAAGAAAAAGACCCATCCCATCTTATCTCAACCCTTACTTTTAGTACAAATTTTCATGTTAAGCATCATCAATCCATCACAGATCTCTGAACACGGAGGAAACACGAGCGGACACGTAAGATTATCACGCGTCCTTCCTGCCGACCTCCTGCCACGTGGCGCAAACCCAGTGCACCCACTACCCCCTCTATATTTTACCCAAAAAATCCACTGAAGATCCATCTCCTATAAATATCTCCAAAAATATAAATCTCAGCGACAAGCCTGCAAGTCCTAAATCTAATCTAGTGTTGATCTCTTTCTTTGTATTAATATTTTTTTGTTGGTGTGTGCTCTGAAAATGTCTGAGTTGTTGGAAAAAGCCAAGAACTTTGTGGCTGAGAAAGTGGGTCATGTAAAGAAGCCAGAGGCAGAAGTCACAGATGTTGATTTCAAGACGGTGAGCTTTGGATCTGTTGAGTACCTTGCAAAAATCTCTGTGACCAATCCCTATGGAGTTGACCTCCCCATCTGTGATATCACTTACACCCTCAAAAGTGTTGGCAGGTTCCAATTCTCACTTTCAAACACTTTGGGTTCAATTTTTATTTGTTAATTTTTGTTATAGATGCTCAATTTGATCCTTGTGTTTTACTTGAATTTTCTAATTTGATTTTTGTATTTTCAATTTCGTCAATTTGGTCCCTTATTTTCATTTTCATAATGTGTAAGAATCAAGATTGTCAAACATCAAAATAGATTACGGTCAAATTAGGCAAAGGGATCAAGATTGTCAAATTCAAAGCATAAAGAACAGAATAAAAATTTGAACAGAACATACCATTGGTGTTGTGGTGTTGGTTTTACTTTGTCGGAAGAGATCTCGAGTTCAAATGCGATCAATACACATTTTTTTGATAAAAATAAAAATAAAAAGATATGTTTCTATGCCATGCTCCTGTATATAAAGTGACTTGATTTGTATGTGTACATGTGAATTTGTAGGGAGATTGCATCTGGGACTATACCAGATCCTGGTTCAATAGAAGGAAAGGAGATTACTGTGCTTGAGGTACTATTAAAGGTGTCACATAGCATATTGTTGACCTTGGCAAAAGATGTTGGAGCAGATTGGGACATTGATTATGAGCTGGATATAGGCCTCACCATTGACCTTCCTGTATTTGGCAACTTCACCATACCACTTAACAAGAAGGGAGCGATCAAGCTTCCCAGCCTCTTCTGATCCATATGACCTTTGAGATTCTATGGCTTTGGTTATATATTCTGTAACTGTTCTTTTGTTGTTAATACAAGTACATTAAGAAATGGACTATGTCTTTGCTCAGCACCCCGTTTTTATCAGCGGGTATAATTCAGTTGGCTGAGCTCTTCCACCTCCCCTTATGTCG